CCTTGTCAATTATTATTCATTTTTCACTAGTATTTCTTTCATCTTATTTCTCTTGCTTTTCCACCAAGTAGTAATAGTCTTAAGTTGTCTGAATTTCTTAGATGAAGCCTTGTCAATTATTATTCATTTTTTTCACTAGTATTTCTTTCATCTTATTTCTCTTGCTTTTCAAACCAAGTAGTAATAGTCTTAAGTTGTCTGAATTTCTTAGATGAAGCCTTGTCAATTATTATTCATTTTTCACTAGTATTTCTTTCATCTTATTTCTCTTGCTTTTCCACCAAGTAGTAATAGTCTTAAGTTGTCTGAATTACTTCGATGAAGCCTTGTCAATTATTATTCATTTTTCACTAGTAATTCTTTTTATCTTATTTCTCTTGCTTTTCCACCAAGTAGTAATAGTCTTAAGTTGTCTGAATTTCTTAGATGAAGCCTTGTCAATTATTATTCATTTTTCAGTAGTATTTCTTTCATCTTATTTCTCTTGCTTTTCCACCAAGTAGTAATAGTCTTAAGTTGTCTGAATTTCTTAGATGAAGCCTTGTCAATTATTATTCATTTTTTCATTAGTATTTCTTTCATCTTATTTCTCTTGCTTTTCCAACCAAGTAGTAATAGTCTTAAGTTGTCTGAATTTCTTAGATGAAGCCTTGTCAATTATTATTCATTTTTGATTAGTATTTCTTTCATTTTATTTCTCTTGCTTTTCAAACCAAGTAGTAATAGTCTTAAGTTGTCTGAATTTCTTAGATGAAGCCTTGTCAATTATTATTCATTTTTCACTAGTATTTCTTTCATCTTATTTCTCTTGCTTTTCCACCAAGTAGTAATAGTCTTAAGTTGTCTGAATTTCTTAGATGAAGCCTTGTCAATTATTATTCATTTTTCACTAGGATTTCTTTCATCTTATTTCTCTTGCTTTTCAAACCAAGTAGTAATAGTCTTAAGTTGTCTGAATTTCTTAGATGAAGCCTTGTCAATTATTATTCATTTTTCACTAGTATTTCTTTCATTTTATTTCTCTTGCTTTTCCACCAAGTAGTAATAGTCTTAAGTTGTCTGAATTTCTTAGATGAAGCCTTCTCAATTATTATTCATTTTTCACTAGTATTTCTTTTATCTTATTTCTCTTGCTTTTCCACCAAGTAGTAATAGTCTTAAGTTGTCTGAATTTCTTAGATGAAGCCTTGTCAATTATTATTCATTTTTCACTAGGATTTCTTTCATCTTATTTCTCTTGCTTTTCAAACAAAGTAGTAATAGTCTTAAATTGTCTGAATTTCTTAAATGAAACCTTGTCAATTATTATTCATTTTTCACTAGGATTTCTTTCATTTTATTTCTCTTGCTTTTCCACCAAGTAGTAATAGTCTTAAGTTGTCTGAATTTCTTAGATGAAGCCTTGTCAATTATTATTCATTTTTCACTAGTATTTCTTTCATTTTATTTCTCTTGCTTTTCCACCAAGTAGTAATAGTCTTAAGTTGTCTGAATTTCTTAGATGAAACCTTGTCAATTATTATTCATTTTTTCACTAGTATTTCTTTCATCTTATTTCTCTTGCTTTTCCAACCAAGTAGTAATAGTCTTAAGTTGTCTGAATTTCTTAGATGAAGCCTTGTCAATTATTATTCATTTTTTCACTAGTATTTCTTTTATCTTATTTCTCTTGCTTTTCCACCAAGTAGTAATAGTCTTAAGTTGTCTGAATTTCTTAGATGAAGCCTTGTCAATTATTATTCATTTTTCACTAGTATTTCTTTCATCTTATTTCTCTTGCTTTTCAAACAAAGTAGTAATAGTCTTAAGTTGTCTGAATTTCTTAAATGAAACCTTGTCAATTATTATTCATTTTTCACTAGTATTTCTTTCATCTTATTTCTCTTGCTTTTCAAACCAAGTAGTAATAGTCTTAAGTTGTCTGAATTTCTTAGATGAAGCCTTGTCAATTATTATTCATTTTTCAGTAGTATTTCTTTCATCTTATTTCTCTTGCTTTTCCACCAAGTAGTAATAGTCTTAAGTTGTCTGAATTTCTTAGATGAAGTCTTGTCAATTATTATTCATTTTTCATTAGTATTTCTTTCATCTTATTTCTCTTGCTTTTCCACCAAGTAGTAATAGTCTTAAGTTGTCTGAATTTCTTCGATGAAGCCTTGTCAATTATTATTCATTTTTCACTAGTAATTCTTTTATCTTATTTCTCTTGCTTTTCCACCAAGTAGTAATAGTCTTAAGTTGTCTGAATTTCTTAGATGAAGCCTTGTCAATTATTATTCATTTTTCAGTAGTATTTCTTTCATCTTATTTCTCTTGCTTTTCCACCAAGTAGTAATAGTCTTAAGTTGTCTGAATTTCTTAGATGAAGCCTTGTCAATTATTATTCATTTTTCATTAGTATTTCTTTCATCTTATTTCTCTTGCTTTTCCACCAAGTAGTAATAGTCTTAAGTTGTCTGAATTTCTTAGATGAAGCCTTGTCAATTATTATTCATTTTTGATTAGTATTTCTTTCATCTTATTTCTCTTGCTTTTCAAACCAAGTAGTAATAGTCTTAAGTTGTCTGAATTTCTTAGATGAAGCCTTGTCAATTATTATTCATTTTTCACTAGTATTTCTTTCATCTTATTTCTCTTGCTTTTCCACCAAGTAGTAATAGTCTTAAGTTGTCTGAATTTCTTAGATGAAGCCTTGTCAATTATTATTCATTTTTCACTAGGATTTCTTTCATCTTATTTCTCTTGCTTTTCAAACCAAGTAGTAATAGTCTTAAGTTGTCTGAATTTCTTAGATGAAGCCTTGTCAATTATTATTCATTTTTCACTAGTATTTCTTTTCATCTTATTTCTCTTGCTTTTCCACCAAGTAGTAATAGTCTTAAGTTGTCTGAATTTCTTAGATGAAGCCTTCTCAATTATTATTCATTTTTCACTAGTATTTCTTTTTTTATCTTATTTCTCTTGCTTTTCCACCAAGTAGTAATAGTCTTAAGTTGTCTGAATTTCTTAGATGAAGCCTTGTCAATTATTATTCATTTTTCACTAGGATTTCTTTCATCTTATTTCTCTTGCTTTTCCACCAAGTAGTAATAGTCTTAAGTTGTCTGAATTTCTTAGATGAAACCTTGTCAATTATTATTCATTTTTCACTAGGATTTCTTTCATCTTATTTCTCTCAATTTTCCACCAATTAGTAATAGTCTTAAATTGTCTGAATTTTTTAGCTAATTAATAACGTATCTTTAATCTCTTCACATCAGCTTTTGAAATCGTTGCGTTTTATATATATCCAGGTAGAGTACTTACGTGTGAGTCCGGGTTAACAAAAGAAGGATATAAGACATGGAAAATCAACAAACAAAAATTCTTAAATTTTTTTAAAATTCACGTTACAGAATTGTTGACGGCATTTCACGGGTTATTTAAGAGCAGAAAATATTTTTAGATTTTAAGATCTTTTGGAGATAACAATGATTTACTGATACATGTCTTACTAATTAACCCATAGCTGAGGTGAGAAGAGGTGGGTTCATATTTTCCCCAAGTGTATTTGCGCATAATGGAATATAACGACCTTGACTAGAATTGAAGCTTGACTCTCTCATTTTCAATTCCGAGCCAATATTCATTGCACCACCCGCACATTCAGACTTACAGTCCCAGTTAATCCCACGTGGTCACCCATCTAGTACGTACCAGGTACGACGTTGCTACAGAAAAAGAGAGAAAATTAATAAACTTCATATTTGATGTGATTGACAATTCAGCAGTATCTTCAGTTGACGTCTTTCATTTATTTAATAATTTCAAGCAAGGTTTATAATGCCACTAAGACGCAAGGGGTTACTGGGAGTGAAAGAGAATGAGAAGACTTTATTGAGGAGAAAGGAAAATAAAATAAAAGGTTTCAAGAAGACAGAAGATGGCGATAATGTCACTAAGACGCAAGGGGGTTACTAGGATAAAAGAGAATGGGAAGACTTTAGTGAGGGGAAAGGAAAATAAAAGAACAGGTTTCAGGAAGACAAAAGATGGCGATAATGCCACTAAGACGCAAGGGGGTTACTGGGAGGGAAAGATAATGAGAAGACTTTAGTGAGGAGAAAGGACAATAAAAGAAGAGGGTTCAGGAAGACAGAAAATGGCGATAATGCCGCTAAGACACAAGGGGTTTACTAGGATAAAAGAGAATGAGAAGACTTTAGTGAGGGGAAAGGACAATAAAAGAACAGGTTTCAAGGAGACAGAAGATGGCGATAATGCCACTGAGATGCAAAGGGTTACAGGGAGGGAAAGAGAATGAGAAGACGTTAGTGAGGAGAAAAGACAATAAAAGCACAGATTTCAAGGTTACAGAAAATAGCGATTGACGTTACATTTGAATTTTTGCAGGGTAGCAATAAACTGGAAGAGAGCAACCCAGGTGCAAAAAGATACTTTTAGAATAGAACTTACGGTTACATCTAGCCAGTTTAACAGTAACACGGTGAGGCCTAAAAATCAATCAAATATTAAGCTTAAATTCGTGTAGTACATGCTCAAAGGAGGAAAGATATTCAGAACAATTGCTACAGAAATATCGCGTGTTCGGCAAGGTTGAAAGAAATGTATGTGTTGATCTCCAATGTCAAAAGGAAAAAAAAAAAAACGAGTGAACTTTTCAAAAAATAACGCCGCCTGTAATTATTGTCAGGGGCGGTAATCCAACAATCTCTTTATTCAGGACAAATGGCTGTGGACTTTAGTGATTTTGTTAAAATATTAAAGAAATGGAGGATTTATTTTTACATACATTTCATCGTATATTGATTAATGCAATGAACTAAAACTTTTGTATCTATAATGATGAATATTTATATATTTAACTGAGAATGATTCTATGTTGCTATTCTTATTTGGAGACAGTCAAGTGGCGATTTATTAGCGACACTCGTTTAATGATATTGTTAAGAGGAAAACAAAACTATCACTCAACATGGCAAGCAACATTTAGTGGGAAAATGGTAAACAATTTTTGTTTTTTGTGGAGGGGGTGGGCTTTTATTCTTCACTCTTTGGAACAATTTCTTTCTACTTTTACAATTTACCTTTTCTGATGTCCTTTCTTAATTTTAAAAATATTCTTCTTTCTTTTTTAAATTCTTTAGATTCCTTTCTTCCTAATTTTGCTTATTTATTTATTTTCTGTTTTCATTTTTCTTTCTTGCTTTCATAATTTACTTTCTATTTGCCTTCTCTTTCTTTTTTCTTTCTTTCCTTCTTTCTTTCTTTCTTTCTTTCTTTCTTTCTTTCTTTCTTTCTTTCTTTGCCAATTGCCTGTCTCTTTGTCTGTTATTTCTTTCCTTCTTCTTTCTTTCTTTCTTTGTTTCTTTATTTCTTTCTTTGTTTCTTTATTTCCTTCTTTCTTTCTTTCTTTCTTTGCCAATTGCCTGTCTCTTTGTCTGTTATTTCTTTCTTTCTTCTTTGTTTCTTTACCTATTTGCTCTCTATTTGCGTTCTCTTTCTTTCTTTTTTTACTTTCTTCTTTCTTTGCCAATTTACTATATGTTAATCTGTTCTTTCTTTCTCTCTTCTTTCTTTCTTGCTTCTTTTACTTTCTTTCTTTCTATTTAAATACTTTCTTTCTTTGCCAATTCACTTTCTATTTCTTTCTTTCTTATTTCCCAAATGACTCTCTTTTTGTCTGTTCTTTCTTTCTTTCTTTCTTTCTTTCTTTCTTTCTTTCTTTCTTTCTTTCTTTCTTTGCCATTTTACTCTCCTTGGTTTTTCTTTCTTTCTTTCTTTCTTTCTTTCTTTCTTTGCCATTTTACTCTCCTTGCTTTTTCTTTCTTTCTTTCTTTCTTTCTTTCTTTCTTTGCCATTTTACTTTTTCTTTCCTTTCTTTTTTTCTTTCTTTTTTTTCTTTCTTTTACTTTTTTTCTTTTCTTTCTTTCTTTCTTTTTCTTTCTTTTCTTTCTTTGCCATTTTACTCTTTTTCCTTTCTTTTTCTTTCTTTCTTTCTTTCTTTCTTTCTTTCTTTCTTTCTTTCTTTCTTTTGCCAATTTACTCAATTCTTATCTCTCACTTAATGGCTAATATAAATACTTTTTCTGAATTTGTTTTTTTCTTCACAATGACAAAACTGCGTTTTTTTTTATTAAAGCCGTTAATACCAAATATAATATGGACGATAAACCCAAGACGAGGCTCAGACATGATATCACTGATCAATAACAGCTGCATAATATAATAAACGTACTAAACAAGGGAATAATGGAGGCCGACAATGAGTTGAACAATTTAAAATCCAACAGACATTAGCGGCATCAAAACAAAAAGAAGTTTTTTTTTTTTTTTCATGATGATCAGCAGACCGTCTTGGGTATGACGATAAAATACTTCCAGCAGTAAGGTCTCTGATCAGGAGGTTTTGAGGAGCATAGAAGCACCTCTTCAATGGTGTTTTACCCTGGTGCACCCTGACCCCGGGGTAGTACCACCTGTAAGAATCCCAGCTATGGGCAAATAGTTAACCCCCAAACTCGGGTCAAACACTATGAAATTATAAAAATATATTTTTATAGTAAATATACCAGCAATATAGTTTTGAAAAATATATTACCAACAATTCATTTAACTCTCGACAAAAATCCTCTTTAAAAAAATATGCCAATGACACCTGATCTACAAACTGATTTCTTACAAAGAATACATACTCTATTCATACGAAGGTATCCTAATCTTGTCGGCATTAAATAACGCATTGAGGTTCATATGCCGTAAAACAAAATAAACTAAAACTCTGATCTAAAAACTCATTTCTTACAAAGAATACATATTCTATTCGTATGAACCTATCCTAAAAATCTTGTCGGCATTAAATAACCCATTGAGGTGTTGATATGCCGTAAAACAAAATAAACCCCAAACTCTGATCTACAAACTGATTTCTTACAAAGAATACATATTCTATTCATACGAACCTACCCTAAAATCTTGTCAGCATTAAATAACCCATTGAGGTTGATATTCCGTAAAACAAAATAAACCAAACCAATCTAAACCAAAGAATACATATTCTATTCATACAAAATAATCCTTAAAATGTTGTCGGCATTAAATAACCCATTGAGTTTGATATGCCGTAAAACAAAATAAACCCAAACCCTGATCTACAAACTGATTTCTTACAAAGAATACATATACTGAAAATCTTGTCGGCATTAAATAAACATATTCTGTTCATACGAACTTATCCTAGAAATCTTGTTAGCTTTGTCTTTCACTATGACCTGAAGAGGCCAAGCAATGAAAACCCAATGTGTTGATCTTTAAAAACTTTGGCATATAATGAAATAGATTAAGTCTGATAATTATTTAGTATATTTTCTGTCTTTACGTTATTCTTAATAGATACAATTTATTTAAGTAAATGGTCTGTTTTGTTTGTAAATAAACAGTATTAATTATACTTACCGGCCTGAATGTTCGAGAAATTTCGTAGAAAATATGCCTTCGCTGACAGGAATCGAACCTGTGTCCTGTACGGAGCCGTCAATTGACCTGACGTGCTATACCACTCAGCGATAGGGAAGCGTCTTGTTAACAAATACAAATTACTGTTTTTAAACAGCAAATTTCCACCTAGAAAAACACGATTTCAAAACCCATGCCAAATTCACTATAATTGAGAGAATAGAAAAGTTCAGAGCAGATAACATTAGAAAGATTTTAGAGTTCCATGAAAATAAGTGGATACAACGTTTAAAAACACACTATCCAGACGGGCTTAACCATAAATTTAACAATACAGATAGTATTAATATATAACCCTACAAATTAAAATCTACCCACGTTTCTCACCCATGCTTTCGGAGGTGTTGAGGCCTCACACTTATACACACACCCACACGCATCATACTCACTCCCTCCCTAATGAGCCAAATGATAATACACACCCACAGCAATATACACGCTTACACGTATCATACTCACTTACTCCCTAAGAACCAAATAACACACACACACACACACACACACACACACACACACACACACACACACACACTTAACAGAGACACATCCCCTCTCCAGGACCAACAAAACTGTCAAACTGACCAGGGGAATTCAGAGCAGCATAGATCCATCCAGCTCTTATCTCAAATAACAACTTAGAAGAGACTGTTTGGCCAACACAAGGAATGTTAAAAGATTCATGTTAAAAAGATAAAAAAATAAAAAAAACAAATGAAAACTACAGACGAAACTTCATTTTCTCCATCAAGACATTCATTTCTGTAGCTCACTGCTACCAGAAAGCGATTTTTTTCTCCTGATGATGGGCATGTTGGCCGAAACTAGTCGAGGAATCTAAATGAAATAATAATAATAAAAACGAAAGAATATTAATCTACAACCCAGTGTGTCTGAAGATTTTTTAATATTTTTTATTGTTCAATATATATATATATATATATATATATATATTGTCTTTACTTTTTTCCAATTTCTGACTAACTGATTCACTTAGTATATCTCCTGCAGACTAATAGAAACAAAATAACCAACTGATATTGAAAAAATAATATTGCTATCGTGGAGATATCAGAATGTTTTCTTTGTATAACTGAGAGAAAATATTTTACTCAGAATTCACTTCGTCTTTTTCATAGAGTTATACACATGCGTAAAGGTGCTGACATGACTTACCACAAATGGAAAATTACAGAAAACACTGGGAAGGTTCCTAGGTAATAAGTCTCCTTACGTGTCCTTAGTGGTAGTTTCTCAACCCAGCTATTTAGCCTATATTAGCGATCGTCACAGCAACACCTTCGTTCGGTGTTTCATGCTCAGTAAAGATATTATTCTAAATGTCAAAAAGTCCTGCATTTATATATTTTCTGTAAGCAGTGATCTTCTTTTTTTTTTTTTTTGTACAGATACAGAAAGTACAAAACATTATTTTTATGTGAAATCTTATTCCATACACTACATTATTTGGACTATTGTCCTCGTCTTTGCCGCCATATTTTTTACAAAGTTTCGGCCGTAGTACGCTCCGGCCTTTTTCAGTATCTGTTTATATTTCTGAGATGAGGTATTATGTATACTATTTACATTATTCGGACTATTGTCCTCATCTTTGTTGCCATATTTATTACAACGTTTCGGTCGTTGTACGCTCCGGCCTTTTTCAGTATGTCTATATGTCTGAGATGAGGAATTATGTACACTATTTACATTATTTGGACTATTGTCCTCATCATTGTCACCATATTAATTACGTGCGTATTATGATGTTTGCCAAGAGGAAGAATTGAACACGGGTCGAATAGAAGGAAAGAGAGACAAAGGAAAACAACGCGTGACATATCAAGTGGATGCCAGAACGTAGTCTGGGGGAGGAAGCAGAGGGAAGGAACTTGTTGAGAGCTGCAAGGGATAAGAAGGAGGTGGAGAGCCATGACCGCTTACGTCATAAAAGGACATGGCACATAAAAAGAAAGAAAAGAAAGACTTGATTGGCGGCATGGTTTCATTGTTTTTCAGTTGAAATAGCTAGATGTAACTTTAAATTCTTCTCTCGCACTTCTCGCTTGTGGAACACTTCCGGTTTTTTGCTTTTCAGTTAAGTTTGATCTTCAAAAATGTGAATACAATGTCAATGTTTATCTTCTGTCTTCTTGTTCTTTTATTGTTCTCTTTCCTTAATGGTGTTTTCCCCATATTTTATCACTCTCAGCAACCCGTTGCGTCTTAGTGGCTTTATTGCCTTGTTTGGGGTTAAATGTTTATAAAAATTAATTGAATTTAATAACTTTCTGTGGGGATCATAAAGTTTTCGCTGTATAGTTTTTGACTGGCAATATCCAAGCATATCATTTTAAAAATCTTGCGTTCAAAAACTGATCAAATTGAGATGCAGCTGCTTACGTCACAAACATGGAACTTGACGGGGAACAACATTTAAAACACAATGAAGGAAAATAAGCAATGACTCAGGTGCCATCACAAATATTTATTTTCCTTTATTTTAAAAATAATAACATTTCAAAGTCCACAATTCTTGTTGCAATTTTTAATTTCCATTCGAAAGTCTTCCGATTCTCTTCTCATGCCAGACTCCCGTTTCTTTAAATCCGTTATGGCGTTTTAGAAATCAAGAATAAAAATAAATTTCTTTTCATTGGACAAAGAGAAAGACAAGAAAGAGTCACAATGAATTTATAAATAAGAATGGAATAACATTCGGGTTTTGATTTATTTATTCCCATCTTATTTTCTTCTTTCTCAGTTGGGAAGAAATCACTTTGGCTAAATTATATTTCCAGATCAATTTTGTTGCGATAATAGATTTTCTTGGTTGGAATTTGGTGTAAAATTAATATTTGAGAAAAACTCACTTAATTTTATTTCGAACTTCATTACAGAAATCGTTCATTCACTTCAAGTGAAATTTTACTATACTTCATTTTACATGTTTAATTTTTTTAGAGGTACAAAATATCTGCATTCTTCCATCTCTTCTTCTTCTTATTATTATTCGCACTGTGTTGCCATTTTGTTTTTATTTTCATTTTTCCTTCTTTACAACTATTTTGCAATGTTGTTGTTGTTTTTGTTGTTGTTGTTGTTGTTCTTCTCCTCCTCCTCCTCGCCTCCTCCTCTTCTTCTTCTTCTTCTTTTCACCTCCGCCTCTTATTCTTCTTCGTCTCCGACTCTTCTTCTTGTTCTTCTTGTTCTTGTTCTTCTTCTCCTTGTTGTTGTTGTTGTTCCTCCTCCTCCTCCTCGCCTCCTCCTCTTCTTCTTCTTCTTCTTTTCACCTCCGCCTCTTATTCTTCTTCGTCTCCGACTCTTCTTCTTGTTCTTCTTGTTCTTGTTCTTCTTCGCCCCCGACTCTTGTTGTTGTTGTTCTTCTTCTCCTCCTCCTCATCCTCCTAGCCTCCTCCTCCTAGCCTCCCCCTCCTGTTCTTCTTCTTCTTCTTCTTCTCACCTCCGACTCTTCTTCTTCTTCTTCTTCGCCCCCGACTCTTGTTGTTGTTGTTCTTCTTCTTCTCCTCCTCGCCTCCTCCTCTTCTTCTTCTTCTTCTTCTTCTTACCTCCGCCTCTTCTTCTTCTTCTTCTTCTTCTTCTTCTTCTTCTCCTCCTCGCCTCCTCCTCTTCTTCTTCTTCTTCTTCTTCTTACCTCCGCCTCTTCTTCTTCTTCTTCGTCTCAGAATCTTCTTCTTCGTTTCTCGACTCTTCTTGTTCTTCTTGTTCTTGCTCTTCTTCTTCGCCCCCGACTCTTGTTGTTGTTGTTGTTCTTCTCCTCCTCCTCCTCGCCTCCTCTTCTTCTTCTTCTTCTCACCTCCGCCTCTTCTTCTTCTTCTTCTCACCTCCGCCTCTTCTTCTTCGTTTCTCGACTCTTCTTGTTCTTGCTCTTCTTCTTCGCCCCCGACTCTTGTTGTTGTTCTTCTTATTATTATTCTTCTCCTCCTCCTCCTCCTCGCCTCCTCCTCTTCTTCTTCTTCTTCTTTTCCGCCACCGCCTCTTCTTCTTCTTCTTCTCCGCGTCTTGTTCTTCTTCTCCTCCTCCCCTCCTCCTCTTTTCCTCCTCCTTCTTCTTGTCACTTGTATTGTCTTTTCGTTCTTAGTTGCTTCTTCTACCTCAAACCTCTTTAATCATTTTGTTCTGTTTCTCACTTGTTTTACCATTATGCTCATTTTATTTTCCTCCTCCTCCTCTTATTTATCCTCCTCCTTCTCCTCTACTTCTCCCACTCCTCTTCTTAATCTCCTCCGAATTCTTCTCCTCCCCCTCCTCCTCCTATTCTTCTCCTCCTCCCCTCTTCCTTCTGTTCTTCTTCTTTTTCATACCTATTTTATCAATTTTTTCTCATTTTCTTCTTATTTTTCTTCACAAAAAGTCTTGTGCCTGTCTTTTGAAATTTATGTCCAATTGTTTTTATATTTTAGAATTACCAATGAAATCATCAATTGAAATTCATTTAACGAGTCCCAAACTAGAGATCCTGGCCGTCCTTTCAGGCGATTCTGTCAGGTAGAGAGCCGAATTGACTGATAGGGCATAATGTAAATTTGCTAGTGTGTTAAAATCGGTCCCCGAATTTCAACCCCCCTACCCCTTAGAACCAAAAGGTAACAACCTAGCATCGGCGTTTGAACCAGGCTATGACCGGTTATTGAAAAAAAAGAAGCATTTCAAGAGAGCTAATCACTTCCCCATGACACAATGACACCATACTGCCGGATTCAAATGATTAGCAGATTTCAGGAAAAAAAGAAAAAAAAAATGAAGGGTTTTGTTGAGGTTGCTAATGCCGATCAAAAAAGGCAACCTGTGGACTTAAGAATATGTTTTTCTTCGTTGTTTATTTATATTTATATTTATGTATTTGCTATTTTATTTATGCATTTTTTAATTTTATGTAGAGCTTGAGTTTATATTGTTCTTATTTATTTTCTGTAAAATGTGCAGTCTGTCTAGAGGCACAAGGAGACTACGCATGCATATAAGCGACAGACAGCGACGTCAATGCCATATTGTTCTCATTTTGTTTCGTAAGCTGTGAAATTATGATGCAATTTTCCATGTTTTATATTGAAAATAATAATGTATTTTTTTGATATTTGTTTAAATTAAAAGCGGAACCGGTTAATTTGCAGTGTAACACCCGCGCTCAGTTCTCATTAAAAATTTCCAGAATTTATGTGTAACGGTACATGCTCCATTCGTATCTGACTTTTAAAATTTGATAAAATCTAGCGTTTTGGAGTTATCGACAGTAAAACTTCGGATTTATTCACGTCGTTGGCGGCAGCCATTACTGTCGTTGTTTGCATACATTCGCTGCGGAAAGTTAAACGCGGAAGGCTACAGAAAGCTAAGCGCGAAACTGATCTTGCGTGTCTAAATTTGTCTCAATTACTGCGCACGAGAACTATTTACATAGACACGCTCAGTTTGCGCAATAATACCTAGACTGATAAGTTTAAGGTGTATTCCATTCACGCTGGCTACATTTCATTCGTTTTAACACGTTGATTACTATTACAGGCGTTTTTCTTAAGCGACTTTTGTACAAAGATTTGAAAATTTTGCAAAACAAACTTTACCAAGTCAACAACAATATCACTTTCGATTTAGACATGGGTTGGGCTGATAATTACTCCGATATAACCAATTATTGTATGAAAGAATTATAGAAAACAGTATTTACGTTTTGTTTAATTTATTCGAGTGTTATTTTTTTTCCCTGCTTGGACCAGTCCAACACGAAGGTACCTGCGACGATTCGATCTTAGCCTCTTTATGATCAAACTTAAATCACAAGGTAGGATAGTTTAGATCTGAAATCAAAGCGATCTTCATCGATCAGCTGCGGTGTTGGAAGTTTTGGCCGACCAGGGAGGGTGTTGGGTGACATATATATCAATGAAAAAGGGCAAAGAAACGAGGTCAAAATCGTTTCATAGATCAACGATGTAGACTTCGTCTGTTAGTGGTGTTTTATTGGTAAGTATTACTTATCTGTCTTGGTCTATATACTACAGACATTGGGCACTTTCTGTTATATCCGAGAGCTTTTTTGTGTCTTTTTCTTTTTAGACTTCTTTTCCCTTCTTTCATAATTTAAAAAAATATCTTGGACTTGATTTCTTTTACTTTTGTTGCTTCGTTTTATTTCTTTTACGAGATTTAGTTTTGGTAGTTTTGTATTTTGAAGTTTTATCGATAATTTTATCGATAGTTTATTTCGTTTTGGTATATGTACTCAAAAGCCGGTTACAATTTTACATCTATCTATCTATATATCTAATCTCATATATATATATATATATATATATATATATATATATATATATATATATATATATATATATATATTTTACTTAATTCACCCCAAGAAAGGCGATAATGCCACTAAGACGCAAGGGCTACTGGAAATGAATGATTAAAAATAATGAAATAAAGAACCGGAAACCCAATCCTAAACAGGAAACAAGGGATAAACCTCTACTCCTATTCAAAAAAACTATCTACTCCTACTGAAGGAAGAAAATAAATAAATAACATTTCAGAGTTTAGACGGAGACGTTAGAAGTATAGAGTTGAAGTAGACTTTAGAAGGAACCGGAAACCCAATCCTAAACAGGAAACAAGGGATAAACCTCTACTCCTATTCAAAAAACCTATCTACTCCTACTGAAGGAAGAAAATAAATAAATAACATTTCAGAGTTTAGGCAGAGATGTTAGAAGTATTGAAGAGACTTTAGAAGGAACAGAAACCCAATCCTAAACAGGAAACAAGGAAAACCTCTATCCTAAAAAAAACATATCTAACAAAAGAAAAATAAATAAATAACATTTCAGAGATTAGGCAAAAATGTTAGTAGAGTTGAAGTAGACTTTAGAAGGAACGATCCCAATAAACAGGAAACAAATCTATTCGTGATCCAAAAACCACTTATATATATATATATATATATATATATATATATATATATATATATATATATATATATATATATATATATATATTAATTTAATATGTGAAGTCTAACTAAAGATCCAGAAAAAAAAAAATTCTTTGGTGAAATAAATTATTACAAATAGATCCTTAAAGTGGTCTGTTTTTCTTTAAATTAATATATATATATATATATATATATATATATATATATATATATATATATATATATATATATTATTCAAGCCCGGTTGCGATCACAAACTCAACAACTCAGCGCTGTAGTTAATTTTTTCTCAAGTTTCATACACTCTATTGGTTTTCTTGACTAAAACAGTGATAATTAAATATAAAAATCCGTCAGATTTTAGAAATATTAAATTTAAGTTTAAAGTTAAGCGTTACTGGATACATTATTTTATTCGAAATTTTGTCTATCAACATGGATATGATCCCATCTGTAAGAATATTATTTAGTCTGACGAAATTCTTTTGAAGGTCGAAGGACGTTACATAATATTTTATTTTTTATCATTTAATTACACACACACACACAAACCATGCGCGTGCGCACTTCACACACACAGATATATATATATATATATATATATATATATATATATACTGTAATAATGTTCTGAAATGTCTATAAAAAGAATTCGCTTATCACCATATTTGTACAAGAACGCACAACTGTAAAATTTAAAATCAAACTCAGCGTTGCTACTGCAAGCTCCAAAAACAATAACTCATTTCCAATAGCAATTTTTGGATAAAACAATACATATATTTTCGTTGTCCTCTTATTACTGAGAGAAAAAACAAGAAAAACATCTATTCCATACCTGAAGATGTCTGTAGGAACAGACGAAAGCTTGTAGTAAAAATAAGAACTAATGCAACAGAAATTTATAGAAACAAGGATCTTTTCATTCATAACAGGTTCGGGGGGTTTTGTATATTATTTGAATTGTTTGCGACGATGGATTTCTCGCCAATTAAATCATTAACCTTTGTATTTGTTTTTGTATGAATAATTCATGAATTTGTAAATTGATTGCACGTTTATCGAAATTAAAAAGAACAGTTTTTAAGTTCTTAGTCCAAAGAAAAGAAAAACAGACACGAGTAGAAAGAGTAAAACTTAGAGTGCTCAATACGCTAAGTAGATGGATAAATTAGAATAAATCCTAAGTAGCCAGCCAAACCTACCTAAATGGATCTTCAGGGTAAACTTTTAAAAAAAGTTTTGGGAAGGATTTATCTATATCTATAAAAGGCAGGATGTGTGTGTATGTATGTGTGTAACGAATGCACGGACGCTATTTTCAACGGATTTGCACCAAAATTTACATGCACATGCTCCAAGTTAGAGGGAAGGCCAAGACCGAGGTTGCATTTTCCAACTCCCATCGATAGTGGAAATAATCGATTTTTTTCATGCTTCTACGGCAGTTTTCATGTAGTTTGCGGCCATTTTGTACTGGCCAGAGTGAGAGCCAATAGCTGGTTGCTACGAATAGGCAAAGATTCTATTGGCCAGCGTGAGAGCCAACACACACGATGTTAACTAGCATGCAAAAAAAATCGATAGCTGCATTCGTCACAAGTGGGAAAAATTTAAATCTGCATGGCACTTTTACTCCAATTGGCTCATTCGCTTGCTTAAACTCAACGTTGATTCTGATTCCGCAGAACTGGGTTGGGTGTGAAAAAGTATTTGTTGCTAACATTCTTTTTTCATTCGGTTTTTCAAGTTACGAGTCCTTTTTTAAAGCTGATCGTTTTGTGTTCATTTTGTTTAGTTCTTTTTTCGTAACAGATTTAATGTTTAGTATAGAGCTTAGAAAAAATTCGCAGTGTGAGATAGGCAAGAAGTAAGGCATGTAGCAACATCAGCAGGGCAACGGGCACACCTTTAAAGGCAAAGAAGGGCAAAAATATTTTAAGTCAAGTGATAGCGATTGCTGTATGAGTCGTACGATTTTTGAATCAAGCACGGGCAACGCCGAGCCATGCTGCTAGTATATATATATATATATATATATATATATATATATATATAATGGATTTTGGATTTTAAACGTTATTTCTAGCGGATACTCATATTTGAGTAGACGCTCCGTTTATTTACTAAACCGGACATTTTTTGTCTACCAGCCTGAATAGTTGTGAAATTTTATAAAAAATATACACTCTCTGGCAAGACTCGAAATTGCGTCCCACTCGTCAGGAAGAAGGATTGTTAAATCCTAACTGCCTTATAAAGTTGAACATTGCCTTATAAAAAGCAAAGATTTTATTAGCAGGAAAGTGCAAATATATATTGCTTAATGTTTGATATTTCTTTATATGTCTTTCTTACATATTTTTTTAATCCTTAAGTTTAATTCCATCTGTCAATTTATCTAACATTCATTCTGTTCATATCTATCTATCTATCTATCTATCTATCTATCTATCTATCTGTTGTAGCATACCTGCTGACGATAATGTGTATGTCCCCATTCACATAAATACAGTAGTAAATACTGTATGTTGGTCTGCAGTTAGAGATTCATTGTAGAATTCACTTGACTGACTTCTAGCAGTTGACTACTTTATTCTACGCGACGCTGGTGAATCTTATATGCATTGTTCTTGTCCTAAGTATTATCGTTCATTACCAACCTTCGTTTGATTATTCTATTCAGTAACATCTCCCTAGGTCACAACATCTATCTATCTATCTATCTATCTATCTATCTATCTATCACAGTATATTCATATCTATCTATCTATCTATCTATCTATCTATCTATCTATCTATCTATCTATGTGTTGTTCATATCTATCTATCTATCTATCTATCTATCTATCTATCTATCTATCTATCTATGTCTGTTCGTATCTATCTATCTATCTATCTATCTATCTATCTATCTATCACAGTATATTCATATCTATCTATCTATCTATCTATCTATGTCTGTTCGTATCTATCTATCTATCTATCTATCTATCTATCTATCTATCTATCTATCTATCTGTTTCGGTCTGTTCATATCTATCTATCTATCTATCTATCTATCTATCTATCTGTTTCGGTCTGTTCATATCTATCTATCTATCTATCTATCTATCTATCTATCTATCTATCTATCTATCTATCTATGTCTGTTCATATCTATATATCTATCTATCTATCTATCTATCACAGTATATTCATATCTATCTATCTATCTATGTCTGTTCGTATCTATCTATCTATCTATCTATCTATCTATCTATCTATCACAGTATATTCATATTTATCTCTCTATATATCTATATATCTATCTATCTATGTCTGTTCATATCTATCTGAACTAATATTTTCCTTGAAATAAATAATTTTTGTACTTAAATCAGGGTTCTTTCCTTTCTTTTTTGTCTGTTTAATAATCTTCCTATTTCTTTCTTTTTACCTCTCTTCTCTATTCAAACTTCAGCACATAATGGTGAGTCCCGTTTTCACCTTCAAGCCAAAAATCCTGTCACTGATAATTTTCCTCATTCTACCACTCACCATACCTAAAAGAAAACAACACATTATTTCTCTTTTTCTTTCATCCTACGTATGATAATCTTTTAAGCCACACTGCTAATTATCCAAATCTGCTCGTTCTTTTCCATTCAGATCTTTGATTATTCATCTGTAATCCTTCCGATGGACTTTTGTACGCCATCTTTTGCTGAACTTTTTTTCTCTGATGGTGATTTCAAACCCGATCATAAATGAAACATGTTCGTCTATTAGTTCCAAATGAAAGCAAATTAAGCACAAATCTAAGAAAGCGGAGAGATGCACTGAGAAACACGAAACGCCTTTCAAAAACATTAATGAAGAATTTTATAAGTACGATTCATTAAGTACAAAAATCTCCATCGCTGAAGCTGCTGGAAAAATGGTCATGTTATGCTATAATTCCAGACTCCTTCTGCCATTCTTTATCTTTAAAAACAACATATTAAACTAAAAATAAATTATTGCTGGCGTAACTTGGTAAGGTATATGCTAACAGTTTCTTCTATCTAGAAAATGATTTAATGCAAGGCGTCCTATATTAATTATGAACAGCTTGAGAAAAGTAGTAACAGACTCTTTGCGTGGTAACAAGTCTCAGAGTTCACCTTATTGAGCATATTGACGTTTTCAAATATATATATGTATATATTTTTAAAAGGTAAAATATGGCACTTCCCACTGCAAACAATTGTTCTCCGAGTTGCTTGCTAGCCCAAAATTAAGTAACCTAGTCCCAGACAACGATATAACATCTATATACCAGGGTCGGGCAAAATAATTGTAACAGTTGCAAAATTCACTCCTATATTTTGAAGAACTATTATATTAAGAACTTTAACTAAAACTTCGTAATTACAGGCGATATCTATTGTAAATACGTTTATTTATCTAATTTACTGTATTTGTCTTATTTATTTTTAGAATTTAGTAAAATTTAAGCTAAATGCGTGACCTCTCCGAGTTCGAAAAAGAGCAAATTGTTGGAGCCCGCATGGCAGGAGCCTCGATCACTAAGGTTGCTGAACTGTTTGGTTTTTCAAGAGCTACCATATCAAGAACATTGATGCAATTCAAGAAACAGGGAAATACCCGTAGCAATTCGGGCCGGACTTGCAAACTTACTGACAGGTACTGACGTGCATTGAAACGCAATGTGGTAAAAAATCATCGGACAAATGCGGCCAAAGTGACTGCTGAGTTGAATAACCATCTGAATAGTTCAGTTTCTACTAAAACTGTTCACCGTGAGCTCCATAAGGCTGCATATCATGGAAGAGCCGCTGTGAGGAAACCTCTTCCTTCTACTCGCAACATTCAAAAGAGGTTGAGGTGGCACAGAGATCACAATGCCTGGTCTGCAGACCAATGGAAGCAAGTCATATTCTCAAACATGTCCAGTTTTTCTCTTTTCCCAACGTCAGGGCGAGTTTATGTGTGGAGGCAGCCCAAAGAAGCTTACAACCCTGACTGCCTTCTTCCAACAGTGAAGCATAGAGGTGGATCAGTGATAGTTTGGGCCGCCATATCATGGAAATGTCTCAGTCCAATAATTGCCCTGCATCGTAGAATCAACAGCAATGATTACCTGAACATTTTGGGAGATCATGTTCATCTAATGGCCAAGACTATATTCCCTGATGGTGACTGCATTTTCCAAGACGATAATGCTCCAATACATACCACTCGAGTGGTTAAGAATTGGTATGAAGAGCATGAAAGTGAGCTAGAACACATGGAGTGGCCTCCCCAATCTCAAGATATCAATATTATTGAACATTTGTGGTGCATTTTGGAGCAACATGTTAGGAGCCGGTATCCTCCACCGTCTTGTCGTAAAGAGATGGAGAAGGTTTTAATGGAAGAATGACTGAAAATTCTTCTGGATGAAGTCAGGAAGCTGTATGATTCCATTCCTAGACCTATTAAAGCTGTCTGTGAGGCTAAAGGAGGACCAACTCCATATTAAATAAATTTTCTTTGAATTTAACAAGTGTTCCAATTATTTTGTCCAACCCCTGTATATTAAGAGACATTCAAGGTCTACTCGATTTAGGCCATAATGCAGCTAAAACCGAATTACATCCCGTGTATAATAACGTCTCATAAAAGAAAAAGAACCAATTTTAAAACACGGTGCGAAAATGACACTTGTGGTTGGTGTGCCTGTAAAATAACCCATCTAAATCTAAAATCCATTTAGGGGACATAATTCACAAAAAAAAGCAGGTCCCGATGAATATTTGCTTTGATATGGTTGACAGTTTTTATTAGAACAATAGGGGAATCATACAGACGTCCACTCAAATGTTTGGCAATTAAATATTTTCTGTGGATCATGCATTGTCTTACAAAATAGTTCCGGTAAAGCAGTTTTTAAATACGCAGTATAACCTCTGTACCTATCATAGATGGAGTACCATCAGTAGTCCAAACCATAATATTTCTTCGATATAAACGACAACTTCTTTGAAATTTGTTTCACCTTTAGTGTCTGAAGGCAACTGGCAAAAAAACATTTCCTCTCTTTAATGATCTTTATCCAGAAACCTGACCTATTCTAAAAGCATCGTTTCATTATTCCTCAATGAAGATTCGACAAGTTAAATAAGAAACTATTTCCCTTTTAGTTGAGAGACGAGCTGCTTTTCTACATCGCCAGCTATTTTATCAATACATTTTGTGGGGTGAGGTTAATTATGTCCTGTGTATTTTGATTTGTTACCACTGGAATTACAATAGACAATGTCGGCAAAATTACAGTCTGGTCTATATTAGGGGAGGATTCCAGCTTCTGAAATTACTTCCTGAATTTCATATGATACTACTAAGCTTTCATTTATGTCCTGTGTATTTTAATTCGTTACCGTTGGAATTACAACAGACACTGTCGGTAAAATTACAGTCTGGTCTATATTAGGGGGGGGGGCGCATTCCAGCTTCTGCAATTATCTCCTGAATTTCATATGATACTACTAAGCTTTCATTTATGTCCTGTGTATTTTAATTCGTTACCGTTGGAATTACAACAGACACTGTCGGCAAAATTACAGTCTGGCCTATATTAGGAGGATTCCAGCTTCTGAAATTATCTTCTGAATTTCATATGATACTACTAAGCTTTCATTTATGTCCTGTGTATTTTGATTCGTTACCGTTGGAATTACAACAGACACTGTCGGCAAAATTACAGTCTGGCCTATATTAGGGGAGGATTCCAGCTTCTGAAATTATCTCCTGAATTTCATATGATACTACTAAGCTTTCATTTATGTCCTGTGTATTTTAATTCGTTACCGTTGGAATTACAACAGACACTGTCGGCAAAATTACAGTCTGGCCTATATTAGGGGAGGATTCCAGCTTCTGAAATTATCTTCTGAATTTCATATGATACTACTAAGCTTTCATTTATGTCCTGTGTATTTTGATTCGTTACCGTTGGAATTACAACAGACACTGTCGGCAAAATTACAGTCTGGCCTATATTAGGGGAGGATTCCAGCTTCTGAAATTATCTCCTGAATTTTATATGATACATCTAAGCTTTCATTTATGTCCTGTGTATTTTAATTCGTTACCGTTGGAATTACAACAGACACTCTCGGCAAAATTACAGTCTGGCCTATATTAGGGGAGGATTCCAGCTTCTGAAATTATCTCCTGAATTTCATATGATACTACTAATCTTTCATTTATGTCCTGTGTATTTTGATTCGTTACCGTTGGAATTACAACAGACACTGTCGGCAAAATTACAGTCTGGCCTATATTAGGGAGGATTCCAGCTTCTGAAATTATCTCCTGAATTTCATATGATACTACTAAGCTTTCATTTATGTCCTGTGTATTTTGATTCGTTACCGTTGGAATTACAACAGACACTGTCGGCAAAATTACAGTCTGGCCTATATTAGGGAGGATTCCAGCTTCTGAAATTATCTTCTGAATTTCATATGATACTACTAAGCTTTCATTTATGTCCTGTGTATTTTGATTCGTTACCGTTGGAATTACAACAGACACTGTCGGCAAAATTACAGTCTGGCCTATATTAGGGGAGGATTCCAGCTTCTGAAATTATCTCCTGAATTTCATATGATACTACTAAGCTTTCATTTATGTCCTGTGTATTTTGATTCGTTACCGTTGGAATTACAACAGACACTGTCGGCAAAATTACAGTCTGGCCTATATTAGGGGAGGATTCCAGCTTCTGAAATTATCTCCTGAATTTCTATGACGCTACTAAGCTTTCATTTATGTCCTGTGTATTTTAATTCGTTACCGTTGAAATTACAACAGACACTGTCGGCAAAATTACAGTCTGGCCTATATTAGGGGAGGATTCCAGCTTCTGCAATTATCTCCTGAATTTCATATGATACATCTAAGCTTTCATTTATGTCCTGTGTATTTTAATTCGTTACCGTTGGAATTACAACAGACACTGTCGGCAAAATTACAGTCTGGCCTATGTTAGGGGGGCGCATTCCTGCTTCTGCAATTATCTCCTGAATTTCATATGATGCTACTAAGCTTTCATTTATGTCCTGTGTATTTTAATTCGTTAACGTTGGAATTACAACAGACACTGTCGGTAAAATTACAGCCTGGCCTATATTGGGGGCGCATTCCTGCTTCTGCAATTATCTTCTGAATTTCATATGATGCTACTAAGCTTTCATTTATGTCCTGTGTATTTTAATTCGTTACCGTTGGAATTACAACAGACACTGTCGGTAAAATTACAGCCTGGCCTATATTGGGGGGCGCATTCCCTGCTTCTGCAATTATCTCCTGAATT